ACTTTTTTTTTTTTTTTTTCAAAGCTTCTTGTACTGTGTGTTTCCATAAAGTTTCACTTGGTGATTTCTGTTAAACAACTAACCAGACAGCTATTTTCGTTTCTTTGTTTTTAATCTACAGAAGTCATGTCTTGTAGATAAGTACTTTTCATATGACGCATCTCTGCGCAACCAAAGTGTATGAGCCATCTGGAGCATTTCTTTCATGTCTATGCCGATTGTGATTTTTTTTTTTTTGTATAAGGAACACGTTCCTAAATTGAACATGCGTCTATTTTTATTTCAAGATCTCATGACTTGTGCAAGCTTGTTAATTTTGAGCATTTCACTGGTAAAACAATTTAATTATTTAATACAGCACTTTGTAAAGTAATTGTAAATGATATTTTAATAACAAGCCAAAAAAGACTAGACAACTGATGTAACATTTGTCAAAGTATAACCTGTGAAGTGTTTGCCTACTGTTCATTGGTTATATAGCACTGAGTTCATTCTTTCTGCAGTGTTTGTGGTTTCGACTGTTTTTGCCATAAGTTTGTACACCATCGTTTTGTTTCGTCCTGAGGCTGTTGGTTTGTGGGTAATCAATCCTCAACACTACGTCATGAGAAAACAGATGCAGCAGTAAATCATTCCTCTGTCAGAGTATTTAGACAAGGAGTTGGTGCAAAATTGTCAAATTCCTAACACTCAGGTTTACAAACAGTTCAGTTGAAACAGACATGTTACGCATTTCTAAACATTACTGAGCGCGCAACAAAATGAATTTCTCATCAACGTTGTTCTTTTTCACTGACATAAAAATCATTCCAACAGCCTGTCGTTCTAATCTCACAAAGTCAGCTTGTAACACAGAATAAAGCAGATGCCATGATATTCACTAAAAGAACCACTGATCTCTCTTTATGACTGTACATTTTGTCAGCCTCATTCATAGCTGTTCTGTGTAAATGAATGTGTGAGTGTGCTATTTCTTTCTTTTTGAACTGAAAACCGTAGAATTGTGTACCTGTGAATGTTCAATTCGATTTCTTAATTCAATGTTCCTTGCCTTTCTGCAAGTCAAAATGCTGTATTTATTACATGCCACAGCGCTTATGCAATTGTACAATTCTTTTCTATTGTTATTATTCTTTTTTTTGTTTTTGGTAAAGTTTTTTTTTCCTCATTTTTCTCGTCAATGTAAATTGTCGTGATGATTTTGTGGTAACAGGAAGCCCTTTTCTGCAGAAGGTTTTCTGTACTTTTTGGACAATGATATGGATTTGTGGGTAGAATTTTGGAAATTCGTTTCTAAGTGCTTTCAAGTATTTACTTGGCCTTATGTATATATCTCTCTATGAAATTTCAGAAAAGGTATGTATAGTAATTGAACCTAAAATGGATGTAAATAAATTATATATTGTTAAAAGAGAGTTGAGTGATTTGTGCTCACACCATCCACTGTATTTCATGACACATTTTACATTTGGATCCAGTCAGTAGTCTTGAGAATAATCATGATTTATTCTTTCGGATACATGAAGAAAACCCCATTTCACAGCCATTCGTATGATTCAGTAAGTCAGCACACAACAAAATGACTGCAGGTGATTTATTGACTAAATGTCTCTAGCACAATTTCTTTATAAATGATTTGCATCATCTGACATAGAAAACTCTATAATATGCACAAGAATACAGCAGTTTATCTTTCTGAATGACACACACAATAGTTAAAGGCTGCAAAGCTATAAAAAAGGCACTTGATAGTTGATACGTAACACGTTGTCAATATAAAAAAGTACAAAAATTGAGCTGTTGGCTCATATATAGCTTTCTAAGAGCAGGATATTGGAGTGTTGCATTTCTTCCGATTAGAGTGCAGGAGATTGCGATAAGGGAATGTTCCGGGCAGCATCTGTTTTTGTTTTTTTTGTCTCTGAACCATTGTTTGGAAACGCCATAAGATTATGCATACATTGGTGATATCCATAATCAGGGATGCTCAAAAAAAAAAAAAAAGGCTTTCCATGCCCTCACCTTTGGCACTTGCAGCTTGCAAAAAAACACCAAAATGGCCACAGAGCGTTAAATAACAGCAAGCAAATACGAACAAAGGCTCTAAGTGACTCGTATAATATTGCCGGATCCATTTGCACCAACGCAAAGTGTTTTATGGTATCACAGGCCTTTCCTTAATTAGAACTACGTATCTGATTAGAACAGATGAATGTGACATATTTAGTATTTAAGCCATGTAGAGACCATTGGTTGAGTCAGGATGAAACGCATGCAATCAGTGCTAATGTATTTCAGTGTAGCTGCCAGGGGTGTTTTATTCCTCTGTGGTTTACCATTACCTTAAGTACCCTGGCACAGCAAATCAGGCAGAGCAAAAAAAGTAGGCTGCACGGCATCTAGAGGATTGAGGGGCCACTTTAAGATCCTGTCTGACTAGATCACATGCTCAATGCTTTAGCCTACTAAATGGATTGTATGGATCAGAGTACAACTAGATTGCTTCACTCATTACATGGGAAATGCTTTGTCCTTATTTGTGACAAGAGAGGATAGAATTTTGACTGATAAATACACACCCGAGTGCAGACAAGATGAACGAATCTCACAAAAAAAAGTGTCACATTTTACAACTATATATATATATATATATATATATATATATTAATTTTACTGTATTAAAATCAGCATTAAGGCAGTACAACAAATACTATTGTGATGTATAATTTTTATTTTTTTTTATTACAGTAATTAAAAATGTCATTTGGAGGGAAAACGTACTCAACTGTCATGGAAATAAAGTCACAAAAATTCATATTCATACAAATGGCTTAATTTTCTTTATGCAATATAAAATGGGGTCAAATGTGAACATAACATGTTTTGTGAGATTCACTCAGATGCCAGATTGACGGATACTGAAACAAACTACTGTATATCTAAAAAGTGACAGTAAAGTGAGCAGTAAGAGTGTACTATTTTCTTTGGATTGACAATGTGTCATGAATACTGTAGGTGTACTTGTGGAGGTGGAGTGGGATGAGGAGGGACAGCTAAAATACTGCATCCAAATACCTTGTTATCCATACCGACATCTGGCATTGGTGGTTCTAACAGTTCACAAGCTGTTTCCAGTTGAATGACTGGCATCGTAACATAGCAAAACTGAGGGCAGTCTGTCGGCTTACTGAAGCAAGCTACCAAAAATTCAGGTCCGTGCTTTGCTGAATGACACATACTTAGTAAATGCTGATCGAAGCTACTATAACAGCCGGTGAAAAAGAGCGGAGCTACTATATCCATCACTCTGTCAGTCAGCGTATGTTACAGGCTTCAAGTAAAGTACTTGGTCTTGTTTGGCATAGCTATAGACTCCCCAGTCTCCGTTCCGACCCCTCCTTGACGAACAGCAGAGCCTCACACCGGAGAGAAAGCGTGACTTTTACATAATGGCTTGTCCTTCTTTGAAAAGAACGTCTTCCCCTCCAGATTGATTTGACAGATCTGAGGAGATTACAACTATATATATATATATATATATATATATATATTAATTTTACTGTATTAAAATCAGCATTAAGGCAGTACAACAAATACTATTGTGATGTATAATTTTAATTTTTTTTTATTACAGTAATTAAAAATGTCATTTGGAGGGAAAACGTACTCAACTGTCATGGAAATAAAGTCACAAAAATTCATATTCATACAAATGGCTTAATTTTCTTTATGCAATATAAAATGGGGTCAAATGTGAACATAACATGTTTTGTGAGATTCACTCAGATGCCAGATTGACGGATACTGAAACAAACTACTGTATATCTAAAAAGTGACAGTAAAGTGAGCAGTAAGAGTGTACTATTTTTTTTGGATTGACAATGTGTCATGAATACTGTAGGTGTACTTGTGGAGGTGGAGTGGGATGAGGAGGGACAGCTAAAATACTGCATCCAAATACCTTGTTATCCGTTCCGACATCTGGCATTGGTGGTTCTAACAGTTCACAAGCTGTTTCCAGTTGAATGACTGGCATCGTAACATAGCAAAACTGAGGGCAGTCTGTCGGCTTACTGAAGCAAGCTACCAAAAATTCAGGTCCGTGCTTTGCTGAATGACACATACTTAGTAAATGCTGATCGAAGCTACTATAACAGCCGGTGAAAAAGAGCGGAGCTACTATATCCATCACTCTGTCAGTCAGCGTATGTTACAGGCTTCAAGTAAAGTACTTGGTCTTGTTTGGCATAGCTATAGACTCCCCAGTCTCCGTTCCGACCCCTCCTTGACGAACAGCAGAGCCTCACACCGGAGAGAAAGCGTGACTTTTACATAATGGCTTGTCCTTCTTTGAAAAGAACGTCTTCCCCTCCAGATTGATTTGACAGATCTGAGGAGATAAAACAGGAGGATTAAGCAGTAGAAATCAAACTCTTATTCAATCATGGAGCTACTGCAAAGGGGCTGTTCAACAGCGCTATTCTACAGCTGTGATTCATGATTTTCTACTTGCTAAATGAAATAACACTAGGGGGAGAAACATTTTAGAGAGCATTTAATTGGATAAAAGTTTGGGGTGCAGGATGAGTCATTACTTCTGGTACATTTTTTTTTTTGGTAGCTTTGGAGAAAAATATCTTCTAAATGAATAAACGTGGGGGTCTTTAACCTGATTAAGCTCATAATCCATTTGGGGTCTTTTTTTTTTTT